GAGCCGGGGCCGGGAGCCCCGAGGGCTCGCCTCAGCCTGACGGGAAACCCTGCGAGCAGGGGAACTCCTTGCTTCCAGAGCTGTCAGTGGGGTTTTTTAAATGTTGATCTTTAATCCTCCTGGTGAATAAATCCTGTGACTTAAGAAGCATCACCTCTTTGCTTCAGATAACAGTCAAGGATATCGAAGACTTTGAAAAAAGCTACAAAGGTTCAGAAGAAGAGCTGGCCGATATTAAAACAGCGTACTTGGATTTTGAGGGAGACATGGACAGAATAATGGAGTCTGTGCTGTGTGTGGACTATACAGATGAACCAAGAATACGTAAAATCATTGAAGAAGCCATTGAGGCTGGTGAAGTCCCATCCTACAAAGCTTTTGTAAAAGAGTCCAAGCGGAAAATGAGTGCAAGAAAAAGGCAGGTAGGTTCTATCAATCAGGGACCAAAGCAAAGCATTGGTTATGATATGCTTTCAGTCTCCCTTGGTAGATATAAACTAAACTGTCCTTGAGACAAATGTTTGCCACAGGATTGCTGGGCTACACAAAGTTCTTGCTCGGGTTCATTGGCTTTACATTTGGTCACCAGTGTTCTCCACCCCCACAAATTGTTGTGAGAGGCTTTTGAGTTGCAGTAGGCTGTCACCTATTCATTTATTTCAGTATCATACACAATGGGTTATTACAGCTTAGCCTGTACTTGCTTTTAGTTATAAAGCTACAAGTTGATGGAGTTAAAAAACGTATGTGGTGGAAACACATTACGTGTGCCTTTTGCCAAGTGTGAAATACATCCGGGACTAAATCTGGGGTTTTTTAGATGCTTTGTAGAATATGTTAGATGCACATCACAGTAGCATTTTTTTAAGGTAAAATTTAATAGATGCTAAGACAAAAAAGGTATGAGTGGGGGAACAGGGACAGGGATAGACATCCATCACATTCAGCATTGTGAAACAGCAAAAAACTGCCTCGCTCTACTAAAGCATAGAACAAGAACAGAACAGGCTGTTTTTTTGACCGATTTCTCATCTGTGGCCAAACTTGGAAACCATGTTTCCTTGCAAGTATTTGTATACAGATGCAAAAAAAAAAAAAAAGGTGCTTGGTAACTACTGTAAGACTGTGTTGAATAACATGCAGAATACTTTTGTAAAAACTAGATTGCTATTTTAGGCAGAAAGAGAAGCCAAAGAAGCAGAAAAGTCTAAAGTTGAACTGGGCCTCGGTGGAGAAGATGATTTGAAAGCAATGATTCAAGTAAGGCTCTTAGCTTCTCTTAAGTTCCTGGCTTACAACTGTGTTTTCCCTGAGCATCTTTGTATTTTGTATCCTTGTAACTCTTCTGAGTTCCTGAGGTTAAACCTGACTTTTATAATAACTATCTCTGTACTTTAATTATTAGTCAGAGTACAGTATGGGTTTTATTACCTGCATCTTTTTAAAAATGAACAAAGTCATTCTAATATCCTTATTGCATATACAATCAAAACATTCAACCTAGTTTTCAGCAGTTAGACAGGGAGTGCTAACAATTCTTTCTTTCTGAGGGACTCCAGAAGGATGTAGAAGTTGATAGGTTTTGCTTTTGAATCTTTGGGATGAAGAAACATACTATTTATATTCTGATTTTGGAATGTTTTCTGTTTCTTCTTCCTTATCATCCTGTGTGCTTCCTAGAATGGTTAAACATTCCTCAAATTGTAATAGAGTTTTGGGTCTAAACTAGAAATTGTTCTGCTTTTCCTAGCCTTATGATGTGAATTTTTACAGCAACTCTTTTCCTCTGTCTTAACGCTTCAGGAAATTAGGCACAGGGCCTAGAGTATGTAAGTAGGCTTTTGCTTGACAGTGTTAGTTCTGTAGCTTGTACTACCTGTTTAATATATTCCCAGATTTTACGTAGCTATCTAACTTCAGTAGAATAATCTGTATTGGGAAGTAGTAAAAGTTGTTTTTTCTTTTTTTTTCCTTCTAGAGCAGAAATAAAGATCGACAAAAGGAGATGGAAGACTTTTTGGCCCAAATGGAAGCCAAATATGGGAACAAGGCTAAAAAAGGAGGAAAGAAGACAGCAGCCAAGAAAGGAACAAAATAAAACCTGTGTAAGGTGAAATATTTGGAACCATTTTGTATGGGAACACATTTTGGAGTATGTGCGTTGGCTTGCTGTGGCTGGGAGGTGTGATACAGAACACGTCATGAACAAGAAAAAGCGTTCTGGTGCTGCTGGTTAAAATCATTCAGGTACTCCTCAGGTAAGATCAGACAGGTTCTTGGCTAGGACTTTATTTGCAGTAAGGAAGCAGTGTGATGTTAGGGATAGCCGTGGGTTTATTATGAAGCACCTTCCTTCCCAACACCAAATGGTGTTGGTACAGCTGGTAAAACTCATCTCACACCTTTTAGAGCCTTCCAGTGCCAATTTCCTGTGGCTTCTGAGCTCGAAACCTTTTTGCTGTTCACACATTTCTTTTGTAACAAAACTTCTGCTGTTTTTAAAGGTCCTTGCACTTCAGCATAACGGGTGTGGTTTGGATATTTCAGTGGTTTTATGAAGATATTTTGGAAAAGTGTAATTTAATAAAAGTTTTTGCAGAATTCTGTGCTGTGTTTCTTCCCTGGACGCTTCTGTGTTCTCTAAGTAGCTCTTCAAATCGAACTGATGGTGTTGACTCTTCTGACTGATTTAAGTCAAGGAAATACTACATACTTTATAGCAGCTGAAAATGCATGATTATGAACTGTGGTGGCAGTGCTGGTGACACTACACTGGGTGGAAGGACCACCTAGTGTTCAGCCTTCGACTGCCTGGGGCAGTTGCTTTGGGAAGAACATGAGACTGCAGCATGTATGTGACTATGCAGATGTTCTCTTAACTTACCAGGCAGAGGTAAAAAAGTTCAAAATTCACAGAACAGACTCGGTTCTGTGTATTTCTAGGGTTTGTGATGTCTTTTGACAAGGAGTTCCACAGCTCAGAAATGTTTTGCCTGTTATATCAATAGCATTCACAGTCAGGTCTGCTGCACTGCTTCATAATCATATTTGTCAACACTTCTGTTATTTCAGGAGTGAATTAACTCTGCAAGATGAAGCAAAAGCCTTTGAATTATTTGCACATCTGTTCTCAAACCACTTGACATAGTGTGCAGGGGTATGAATTTGAAGGTTAACTAGTTTCCAACTTCCTACAGCTCAAAGGAATGAGGATGGCTTTATTTTGTGGAGCATTTTTCAAATGGTGAATACTTCCCGAGTTGAAGGTTCTCATTGCTCCAGTGACAGTGTTCAGGAACTGACTGAACAGAGCTTCCTAGGGCAGGAAGACAGAGACAGGTGGTAACTCAGCTACCCCTTACTTGTCTGCTTTCAAAAATCATCCCAATTCTGAGAGAGTCCAGCCTAACACATCATATGGAAGTTACTTTTACTATACAAAACAGGTACCTAACGGCCCAGAAGTCTCTGCTGTCAATCATTTGTATAGAAACCAAAAATTGCCTTATGATGAGACTGCTCTCACATTTTTAACACACCAACTCATCTAGGCTATACAATAGCACGTTAGAAGTCTTCTAGACAATTAGCGTGGTTTTTTAACTTGAGAACTAGCACTACAGAAAACTAACTTGGTCCCTGAGGAATTGCAGTGATATAAACAGGATGCTCATCTCCAGTTAGGTTGAGATAACTAAATGACAGCCTGTACAATGTTCCAGTAGTCTTAGCTGCTAAGAAAAGGTCTGTTTTGAAAGGGTTTAGTGAATAGAGGCCCCTCTTCAGCATCAGTCTATCTCTGTTTTTTTCCATTAGGAATTGTAATTTGGAAAATACTCATAACGCAGTTTAGAAAAAAGAAGTGCTCTTTAATTGGGTTATAAAGGTTTTGTGCAGTGTCCTAATTTTGTTAAAGCACAGTAAGTGGTTCTCCTCTCCTGTGTCTTTACAATTGCAGTATGGTGCTTATTGCTCAGGGGTGAGAGCTTCAACTAATCACTTACTTTGAGAAGCTTGTACTTCATGTTTTTGTCTTGTCTGGAGCCATAAGGGCAACTACAGCTAGCTCCTGGTACCCCTGTCACACGGTGCAGAACTCATCTACTAAGAGCTACACTGCACTCCTGGGGGTGGTGGAACTTCATGGTGGAGTGCAGAAATTCTGTATAACTGCAGGTACTTTTTGAACAGGAGACTGTTCACCTATACTGTGAAATTACCATAAAATATCTCAGCAGG